TCGGTGAGAACGACCTGGTAACTATTTGGGATGGTATTTATACAAGACAACCATGCTGCTTCACGAGCTCCTGGCATTCGGCGACAAGGCCATGGACGCAGGCACCCTTGTTACCTTTAAGCTTCTCGGATGTGTACCAGACGAAGAAGGGGCTGAAGATGTTTCAACCGCGGCCAGCGCATTGCTGGGTCTTCACGCCGGAGCTAGCGATTTGGGTGACGAGTGGTCGCAGTGCCTGCAGAACCCATGCGAGTGTAAAGCTCCAGAACCTGGTTCAGACGACGAATGTGATGTGACCAAGGATGAAGACGCCGAGCCGGTGGTCACTGCCGGCGACAAACTGTTACGAGAACTTCGCATTGAAGTTGAGGCTGCAGCTGCTTCATCCGAAAAAAAAACGTTCATGCCCTCTGCGCCCATCTCGATGCTTCCAGCACCCATCCCGTGTGCGGCGGCACATTGCAAGCTATCACGTGGACAGAAAGCAGTTCGTGTGCAGCGGCACCAAGCAGCTGAAGCTGTGCTGCGCTCTTTTCGACAACGCTCAGCTTCAGGGTAACATCAAGGGATCTTATCTCAAGCGCAGCGCAGCTATTCTTCGAGCCACTGTTCGACCGCCTCTACCTACCACAGTGAACGAAATCGACAGAGATATTCGGCTGGTGTTTACTGGACTGTGCAGGAATCGAAGAGTATCAGACGTGTGCGCAATCTGTACTATTCGAAAGAGTTCGGTGAGCTTGTGTATCGGGAGCTGCTCATGCGCCATGCGAAGTGCAAAGCTGTGCCTTGGCAATACTCAGATTTTTTGACGTAAGTGACTGTGTAGACGTCTCTATCATAGAGTAGTGTTCCAAGGCAAAGCCCCGAATGGCAATGGTCATTGCCGCAAACGGCTCCGAGCTCGCGTCGCTTCTGCCCACAGACGTCAGACATTGGTGGCCCATTATCGAAGACGTCTTCACCTCAACAGCAGCGCAGAGCCTCAGCGCCGACATACTGGCAGCATTCTGTGCGTCGAATGAGTTTGGCGTGGTGACTTTGGATGCCACTATCAAATGCTGCATGGGCATCATGGGGCAAGAATCCTATCGCGCGCCCAAGAAAAAAATGCGAACGCAGCTCCCTTCGATGACATCGCCGCCCTGCGACGGGTGCTGACAGTGCGAGGGCGCACTGGTGCAGTCTTGGCCATGATTGCCGTGCCCTCAGAGAAGGCCGAGGTAGTGACCCCAGCTCTTGGCCAGGCTCTACCCGCCAAAGGACTGCTGCAGGTTCAGCGTTGCCTCTGACTGTGCCTCAATCAAGCTCTACACACATCTGCGGCGCATCACGCCAAACCTGCAGTGTCTGACGCTTGACCCCGTTCACCTGCCCATAGTATATGAGCAGCTTGGTTTCCTTCAGAACTAGATCTTTCAAGCAAAAGCAAAAAAGAGAGTAGCCTTAGTCGCCTCTCTGCAACGGGAAGCGCGCGTGTAGCAGCTCTACGTATAAGGGGAGTTCAACGCCGTGGACTCTGATCTGCCGGCAGAACATTGGGGCAACTTCTACAGGGCCTACAGCAATGACGCCAGCGGTGCACTTAGCCATGCAGAGAATGTCTGCAGAGGCTTCATCGAGAGCGGCGCCATGGCCAAAGCCAAAGCCCGGGGTATCGTTGAGAACCTGGATAGCTCCAGGCCGTTTTTGTCGAGATTCGAGTTCATCGAGGCTCTAGCTGCCTTATCTGCAACCTTTCCCAAGGACATGAACAGGAAGGTAACAGGCGCTAACAAGCGCGTGGCGCATATCCTCTGGCGCGCCACTGATCCGGATCGTGCCGCATGGCTTTTCAACAACAGCCGCTGGCGTCACAGTCTCAGCTCGCGACTCAGAAGAACGCAAGCCAAAGGAGTCTAGATCAAGCTCAGCCGGCTCGAGCCCATATCTTTCTCGTCTAGCTAGCATGTGACTATGCGAGCTAAGGTCGACGCGTGCTGGCTCTCCTACCGTCGGGAACGTCCTCGAACGAAGCCCTTCACGCTGAGGTGAAGAATTGGTTCTCTGAGACGCAACAGATCCACCAAAGCACTCTATGCCTTAAGCTGCTCATGTTAACCTTGGGCAAACAGATCCCACACTTTCTGGCTATGGCGCATCCAACCATCAGTCAGTGCGCCAGCAGAGTTCTTCTGGCGCGAGCGGTTGCTAACTCCCCCTGGACGGATGTCGCGCGGCAGTCCTGGTGCAGTGAGCTAAGCCACGAGGCGCATGTGGAAAAGGCGGCCCTCCCCTACAACGAGTCACACGCAGAGGGAGTGTCCAAGGTCCGCAGTTGGAACATGAAGCGGCCGGCCGCCGTGAAGAAGTCTCACTTCAAAAGAACAGTGTTTACTCTCAAGAGACTGTCCAAGCTCCGGACGCAGGGCACCCGCACCTGCAGGTAAACGAAGACAGCTTCGTCAGCCCAGGTGGATTTGAGTTCGCGGACGTCTCAGATAAAAAAAAGGAATGTGTGCGCTCGAGTGCTTGCGCTTCCGTGTATGTCATGCTCTATGCAGATCGTTTGGTCCGCGTAGAACACGAACACGGGATGCGTAGCTTACGCTGTACAAAACTCTTTGGGCTTGCACGGCAGCTCTAAAAGACCTGCGCTAAAGTATGTCACTCCTGGTCTAAGCCGTTCACTCGGTCTGCTTAGTGTACCGACGCTCAATGTGCACTCACCTCTACGCAGTTCTGTCGGCCTGCTTAGTAATGCAACAGCACGTGCAGCTGTGCAGTTGAGGCTTGTACAGTAGCTGCTAGATCAGCGCCAAAGGCACGACTCCTGGTCTAGGCGGTTCGTTCGTTCTGCTTAGTGTACCAACACTGGATGCGCTCACGCTCTACACAACTCTTTGGGCCTTTGTAGGTACAGCTCACCTCTACGCAGCTTCCGGCCTGCTTACGAACTGAACAGAACACGTGCAGGTCACGCTCTACACAAGTCCCGAGGCTTGGACGGTAGCTCCAAAACCAGGCTTCTGCTTAGGTTGACGACCTTTTCGCGTGTACAATATTGACACAACTCACGGGTAATTGTTCTGCGTGGTGCTGTGGACAGGCTTGGTGCACAGCAATCATTGTCCCACATGCAACACTTGGGCTCCCTTTGTTGTGTCTGCTGATCTCAAGCAACATGAAGGTTGTGTCTTTCCTTGAGCGTGCAGCCAAGAAAAAAGGTCGTCCTGCGCCCAGCGAACATCAGGGACGTTGTCCAAGAATCCCTCGAAACTGGGATTTCTTCAACACCTCCCACCCGCTGTGAGACATCACAGGCTACCACCCCAACTTTCTCCTCTGCTAGGGCTTAGAGCTACGCCCTCAATTATAAACAGTCTTGCCATGACTGCACTCATCAGCAGCTCAGGAGCTGCAATCAGTCATGCGTATCCTCCCTCTTAAGCAGATAGAATATGGGGTATAATATGGGGATCTCATTATGGCGCACCTTTCGCACAAGTGAAAACCAATGCACTATGAGCTTTGCTCGTGAACCGCATGTGTCTGCAAGCTGTATACAGTGTGCTACAGTGTGCCGAGCAGACTTCGGAATTTGCTGCGTTATCAAAGCCAAAAAGAAAGCACACACAAGTATTCTGTAGATAAATACGGGTACATCATGAAATCTCGCCGGAATGTGAAATTAGGCTTACATTTAGAATTCCCACATGTCCATGTAGAATAGGAAATAATGGGAATATAAGTGGACCTTGCTACATCCCCTATTATCTCTAACAGTCACTGGTTCCTGCCTCCCATATATCTAATAGCCTAATTGTACATCCTTGCGAGACCTCATCTACTGCAGACATTTTTGGTCTACAGTTTTGTCCCTCCTTGTTTCTCTCCTGGAACGCGCTGCTTGAAGTGCCATGCCGCAGGCATGGCTGGCAAACGTACGTTTTTTAAAGTTGGTTAGTTGATATGTTTTGTACTTATGGAAAGATAATATGCAAACCAAAAAAATCCTTCAGGGTACTCGCGCCGACCGTCGCTCGCAGAGAGTCCAAGCGTGGTACAGCAGCGAGGCTGGTTGTTCTAAATGGTTTCAGGCCAATACCAGCGATGGTCTGGACTTTTAGTAGCTGATATAGGCTTTTCTCACAAAATAGGCTCTAGTATGTCTCAGTACCACTTCCTCAAGCAGGGAACTACAATCTTGTAAAGCCGGATAGCAGTTTCTTAAAATAGGGGGGTCGGGTTTAGGGTTTAGGGTAGGGTTGTAAGGGGCATAGAGGTATCATAGAGGATTTTAGGGGCTCTCTTAGGGAGTAATAGGAGCCCTGGCGTAAATTATCACTACCCCCTAAAAGGAAACCTCTATATAGCCTCCTATGATGATCCGTTTATAATGCCCATATAACTCATTATAAAACAATAATATAGTCGGCCGCTTATAGGGGGGAAATCACCTTTTCTATTATTACGGAATCCCAGTTTAGACACCAGGTGTTGCAACTCCCAAAATCCCTTCAGGACTGGAAAACGTGGAAGGAGTGGGAGAAAAAGGAAAAGAAGAAGAAGAAAGAGGCTGGAAGCATTTGAAGCAACTGATCTTCATGTCAACTTGCAAGATCTGTCAAAAGAGTCCCATAACTCTTTAGTACATCCTAATATACAAAGACTTTGTAAAGATCTGAGATCTGCAAAAATCTTCACACAGCAGGTAAAGAGTGCGGCAAGCTCCTCCAGCAGAGGAAAAGCGACTACTGCGAAGGACGAGATTCCCGCCAACCTTGACGACGCTTTACACAGATGGCATAGGCTTAGGGGGCCCCTAATTTTGTACAACCTAAACACTATGGCCTTTACGCGCATATATGTTCCCGTACCGTAGTATCCCTCTATTCAGCCACTGTCTACCCGTGTAAATATCTACACAATCGGAGCCTCTATGCTAGACCTTAAACTTTAGACTCTAA